CCGCACGTCTCAAGGGCACAACGCCTTCCTTTAGCCCAGTGCACTGACCACTAGACTACCGGACAAAGCCGTGGCGTTGGCGTGCCCGCGGTACAGTTGACCACGCATGTTAAAAGTAGCACCTTGTACGGTCGTACGGTCGTACATCCAAATTTTTTCGGCTTTATGGGTTACTACTATTTTGTATAATTATGGGGCCACACTCTGCGAGCTCCACTATAAATGACATTTTGAAATAAAGTTATGTAAAAAATTCATTGGATACATTGTTTTACTAGCAGCTTGGTTTCCCTGGAAAATAAAAAAAGTCATGGCGAGTTCATTTATAGTCTAACTATAATCGGCCATCAGGAACCGGAGCTGAGGCAACAAAACTCCATACCTCTTCACGGGACAAAACAGGGATAAGCAGTAGTGGTGAAGAGTCATTAGTGTTGTAAGATAAACCCTCACACTATTTTGAGAAATGCACTATTTAAAAATTTCTATATCCATAATCGGCTAAACGGTAGCGATTTCATGTTCATATGAACTCGCTTACAGATTTCCCGGTACATGTCCCTGATTGCCTAGCGAACTTGACACTCATCCCGAGGAGGAAGCGAGTTCTCAGGGTTGGGTTTTAAACGATGTGAATGGCATGTACCACAACAATCACAGCTCTTGCACGTACGTATTGCAGACCTTAATCCTGCAACAATGGTTTTATGGATCACTCTTTGCTGGAATCACATGACTAGAGAGGTTTGCATTTTTGTTCTTACGAGCACTACTTTCATTCTACGACATAATTTTTGTAAAAAAGAAAAAATAAGAAAAGTTTTGACAAGTAAATGTAGCGGTTTTTTCATCTCTTGGTAATATTACCCTTCCTAGTGAAAAAAAAATGATAACAATAAAGCAATAGAAAATAAACAAATAAATTCATTGATGAGTTTAAAAAAAAAAATTTCGAATAAACAAATAAATAAAACGTGAATGAAAATAACTGTCGACCCATTTCTTCCACTAAACCATCAGAAACACCGGCGAATTGTTGAGTAATTGAATATTTTATACAAAACCAAATGGAACAAACTACATAAAGTGCTTATTGAACGGGTTAACACGATGGTAAATCAGAACTCACCTCAAATATTTCAATTTTTGCCTGCTTCATTTGGATATTACATAATTTGTCAACGTTTAAATATACATGAATCACTATTGCGGACCTATTTCTGTTGCAAACCTTTGGGTCAGTTTAGACAAATGGGAAGTATCCATGGTTAAGACAAGAGAGGATGATCCTCTTTTGATTAAGAGGAATATATCCCGGGCAATTTTTTGTTTCTTGAGATGAACGTCGAATTTATGAAACTGTAACGAGTTCGCTTTCATATAAATTTACCCCTTTGCCGCCTTTAACGGGAAGCGAAATAAACAAGCGGCATGTGGCTAATTTGCATAAATCAGCTAGTGTGCCTTCCTGTCTGACCTGAAGATTGAAGTACAAACTTCACAATTTCCGGTGTTATCATGGCCAATTTACATTATCAACTCAGTTGACAAGAACAAATCATTTTGACACTCTGTCCATTATTAAAATTATCAAGAAGGATTTCCATTTTTAACTGAAAAGAATAAATTGAAGTTTTTGTCTTGCTTTTTTCTTAAAGAACCTTGACGATTCGACAGTTCATAAAATTCGAGGATATTGAGAAGCATGTGTTAAAAAAAAAGTTTGAAGCCAACGGATAAACAGTTGCATGTCACAAACGGAGGAGGTCATGGCAGATTTCCGTTTTGTTTTCTCGGAAATCTAAATATAGCCTTTAAAAGCAGCTTTCTAGTTTTTCAAAAGAAAATACTCAATTTTCTGTTTACCTCGAACGATTTCCTAAAAAACATTAGCGTCTTGTCTGCACTCTCAAAGTTCACTGAGAATAACTAATTAAAGATAGACTCCATATAAGGAAGACGTAAAGTATGGTCGAATGTCTCGCCACAAGAAAGCAAAAAAACTAATTTCGGTCTCAGTTAACGTTGATAAAGAAGTTGACAAATTCCCTTTCATGGGCGAGAGAGGGGGTAGGGAGAGAAGAAATGACCATATTTTGAAGAAATACGAAGGCCAACACATTTCTAAAATGAGCCTTATATACACGTTTTGTGATTTTCAGATAATTGTCGCTCCTCATTTTAAAATTTTCCTCCCAAAACGCCCGAAGCTTTCCCTCCAGTTAAAATCCATGAATTCTTTCATCCTCTATTAACGATAACACTCCAAGGACGGATTTGCAGTTTTTAAAAATAAAGCTATTAGACAACAATAATTCAACTCAGATAAAAAGTCTAACCTTACAACGAAGACAACTGAGCCAAGGAAAGTGACAGGCCAGAAATAGATCCAATTAAATGAACATTGCCTTATTTTCTAGGAATCTGAAGCAGAGGCCAACTGTTTGAATTTTTGTAAGTATTATCCACCCTTATGTGGAGTTACATGCAAAAATTTCTTCCTCGAAATGCGCATCGATAACAGTCTGAGAACTAAGAAGGAAAATCGCACCACAAGATTGTCCGTCAAAGTGACAGACGTTCCTTTATCCTGAGCAGAAGTTATCATTTGAGTAAACACACGAGTTGTTTGCTGGTCAATGTTGTTAGTCTCGTTTTGGGTTTCGTTCCATCAAACATTCGACTAATTTAACTGGCGATTAGCGGGTTTTCGTTTTTTTCGGAGAAGTGCAACATCAACGTTAAAAGCTGCGACCGAGTGGCGGAGAGTATAACAGGGAAAATTGAAAATACTTGATCGCAGGTTACTTTTCGAGGGACAAACAATTCTTTCACTGATCATCCTGATAATGACCTGTGCTCAGGTTACGAAACATCAGTAACTACTATTGCTAACAGTTCCCCACGGATAAACTCACTCGACACGATCCTCTGTTACGCTCGAGTTCGAATGAGCAACAACAAGAAAAAACAAACAAGCAAAAAGCTGTTGTACATACTGGACTGGTGCCATTACTTTTTCCCTTCAATTCATGACCACTTAGGCGAAGGTTGATTCGACAGTTCAAAAACAGCCTCTTACTGCGTTTTTCCAAATCACACTTTGTAACATTTATGCCTTTAATCGCTTTTATCGAGGCTTCATCACAGATAACAACGTCTTTTTTATCATTACAAAAAGGTCACTTAAGTCCTGAAGTGCAATTGGCTAGAAGAAGTCAGTTGTCATAGACTTTGCGCTGTTTTCTCGGAAACTGAAATAATATCTCTGATTTCGTATGAGTGTTTTGACTAAGCTCGTCGCTTTAATATTGGTAACACATCAGTTAACTACAGTTTAACGCGATCGTCATGAATCCTCTCGTAAAGAACCTCACGAAACAACTTACTTGCTCGATTTGTCTCGATACCTATACCGAGCCCAAAACTATATCATGTCTTCACACATTTTGCTGTGAGTGTTTAGAGAGACATGCAAGAGTGAGCCAGAGACAAGGGAAATTCAGATGCCCCGAGTGTCAGGCAGAAATCGATTTACCACAAGGAAATCGCTTTGACCGTTTGCCTAACAGCTTTTTTCACAAAAGTCTGTTAGGTGTCCTTGAAGCGGAAGATCGTGAAGCCATTCCGAGGGAACAACAGGACACTTGCTCGCAACATACGGAAGAAAGAGTACGATATTACTGCTCCTCGTGTAAGGTGTGTATTTGTCCGATTTGCGTCACCGAAGACCACCGAGGCCATGCGTTTGATGTGCTTGAAAAAGCAGTGCAAGAGGAGAAGAAAAACATCGTGTCGACTGTCCAGACCATCAAGGAAAAGGCAAACTTGTTTCGAGCAGAGTTAAGAAAATTAGAGGAAACATCAGAGGATGTGGAAATGATTATCGCGATCGCAAAACAAGAAGTGTCGGAGGCAACTGAACACGTGATCACAAAGACGCGACAACAAGAAAAACAGCTTTTAGAGTCCTTAGAAGTGATTCGTAGGAAAAGACTAGAGCGAGTTAACTCGGCTAAACAAGAACTGGAATCTCTGGTAAAAATGCTCCAAGGAGCTGAATTTGCGGAGGATCTGGTGCAAAGAGGATCAACTGTGGATATCATACAAAACAAAAACAAATTGAGACAGAAACTTGAAGAGCTTCGTGGAGTTGAAGTTCCAAAACATCGCCAGGCTACATTTGTCAAATTTACCGCCGCATCGCAACACAACTTTAAACTGGGCTCTATTCAAGTCTCTGAGAAGCCGGTTATCGCAGCTAAATCAACTTTAGAAGGATTAGATCAAACTTTTCAGGTCGGTGAAGAAGGAAAGTTTACTTTGTGCCCACGGACATCCGAAGGAGAGATGAGTGACTACGCTGACCTCAAAGATCAAGTCGAATTGCTGATAACACCTGCCAAAGATGTTACAAACGTGACTGTTAATGAGAAATATGACGGAAATTTTGGGCTAGAATTTACTCCCAAAGTACCTGGGGCCTACAGCATTGAAGTAAAGATTAATGGAGATAAACTACCGACCTGTCCCACGATTGTGCAGGTTAAAGAACGTGAACTTGTTGTGGTTGGTGAGTTGAAGTTAAAGCTCTTTCCAGGGGACAAACTTGAACGTTTATATGGAGTTGCTGTGAATACAGATGGCCAGATAGTTGTGACAGATAACCGTGGTAAATGTGTATATGTTTTTGATAAAGATGGCAACTGTATGAGAAAAATTGGAAGCAAGCGTAGCTATACAGGACAGTTTCAGTTTCCCAATGGCATTTCGTTTTTAAATAACAACGAAGTCCTTATTGCAGACTCGAGCAATTGCAGAATACAACGACTTAATATTCAGACAGAAGCTATAGTGGCGAGTCTAGGAAGAAAAGGTAGAGAAAAAGGAGAGTTTGGCATGCCTATAAACGTTACTGTGGATGATAAAGAACGCATTGTTGTAACTGAGTGGGACAATCATAGGATACAGGTGATGTCAAAGGAGGGAGAGTCTATTTTCACATTCGGCGACGACGGCCCAGAGAAACTCCATTATCCAAGTTGCTGCCTTCCATACAAAAACGTGTTTCTCGTGACTGATGCAGGCAACCACTGCATAAAAGCTTTTGATCAGTCAGGAATATTCCTATACAAGTTTGGCAAAAGAGGGTATCAAGATGGACAATTTAAAACGCCGAATGGTTTGCTTGTAGACAGCTCTAATAATCTTCTAGTATGTGACTCTGGCAATAATCGAGTTCAACAGTTTTCTTTAGACGGCCGCTTCACCGGCAAAAGTATCACTCGTTTATCAGACCCCACTTCGATAACAAAAGCACCAGACGGAGGTATTCTTGTTACTAGCTTTGATGAGAAAAAAGTGTACATTTTGAAATAGACTTTTTCAAAAGTGAACTTTACTTCTTGAGCCGCTCCTTACCTGTGTTTTGTTTAATTTTTTAATGCTGTTTTATCACTTGTCTAGAAGAAGTCTTAGCAATAATATTAAGACTTACAATTACTCTTAGAGACAAAAACCCTTTGACTTGAAGTAATTAGGCCAGGTCTTTCAAGTTCGTCAGTTCCAAGCCGTTTTAATCTGCTCCATTTCTCGTCACTTGGCCATTCATGTTTCTTCTCGGTTTATTAATATTCTCCTTAATGGCTTTTTCTTCAATCTAAGGTTGTGTTTTTGTTTTTTCTTTAAGTTCGAGGTATTTTTGCGCATATTCGGTAGCGATTTAAATAATCTAGACCAAGAAATTTAACGGCGATTCCTGAAAGAATTGCTAATATAGCAGAAAAACTACATATAGAAAAACTACATGCTGTATAGAAAAATTTAACAAGTTTAACTTTTTTCTCAGACTGAGAATATATAGCTGGAAAACGTTAAGACCATGTGCTCCTTTTTGCAATCATTGATTGGTCAGGATAGATTAAGTTCGGGTTTTTCAATCTAAGAAAATATATTTTTTATTAAAATTTAATTCAAGAACAATTTATGATTGCATAATTTCACATGTATAAGTAATCAACAAGCATAAGAAGGAAGGTGACAACTGTTTTTAAAAATGGGCATCTACTGGGTAATTACGTCATAATTAGAGGTGGCTACTGATTTTCTAACTAAGCTTTTTCTAACTAAGTGTTCTCAAGACAGTTTTGAAAAATAGTCTTAGATTTTGTTCCATATAACAAGGCGAGACAAATTAAGAATGCATGAATAAATGAGACTCAAGCGTTATTTCAATTTTTTTGTTATGAATGATTAGAAAATAACTTCCAGTATTAAAAGGAAATATCATTTTAAAATAAAGTTATTTGAAAAATTAACGCGGAAATATCATTTCAAAACTTGCAAAATCATCAATACCTTGGTTTCCCTGGAAAAAGAAAGGCTATGTCGAGTTTCTAGTGTAACTATAATTGGCTATCAGGAGACCGGAGCCGAGGAACAAAATTCCAAACCGCCATATAGGACAAAAGCAGGGATAAGGTTTGTTCGTGAATAGTCACTAGCGTTGTAAGATTTACCGTCACAAATTTGAAAATATCGTTCAAATCGGAAGCGATTTTATGTCCATATAGACTCGCTTAGAGATTTCTCATTACATGTCCCTGCAGCTGATTGCCCAGCGAACTTGACATTCACCCCGTGGAAGGAGCGAGTTCACGGGGTTAGGTTTTAAACGTTGAGAATCGCATGCGGCACAACAATCACAGCTCTTGCACGTATTGCAAACCTAATAGGACGCTTTTCTTATAATCCTGCAACAATGGTTTGTTGGATCACTCTTCAGTGCTGGAATCACGTGACCAGAAAGGTTTGCATTTTTGTTTTTTCCAGCACTACTTTCATCGTAGGATATAATTTTTGGAAGAGAGAAAAAAAAAGTTTTTACAGATAAATGTAGCGGTTTTTTCATCTCTTGATAATATTTACCCTTCCTAGTAAGGAAAAATGCATAACAATAAAGCAATAAAAAATAAACCAATGAATTTATCAAGAAGTTTTTAAAAAATGTCGAATAAGGAAATAAATAAAACGTGAATGAAGATAACTGTCGTCCCTTTTCTTCCACTAAACCATCAGAAACGCAGGCGCATTGTTCAGTTATTGAATCTTTTGTACAAAACTAAATGAAACAAACAAAATAAAGTGCTTATGGAATGGTGAACACGATGGTAAGTCAGAACTAACCTCAAATATATCACTTTTTGCCTGCGTCATTTGGTTATTACATAATCTGTCTACGTTTACAAATATGTAATATGAATCTCTATTGCAGACCTATTTCTGCTGCAAACCTTTGGGTTCGTTTAGACAAATGGGAAGTATTCATAGTTAAGACAAGAGAGGATGATCCTGTTTTGGTTGAGAGGAATATATCCCAGGTAAGTTTTTTGTTTCTTGAGATGAACGTCGAATGTATGAAACTGTGACGATTTAGTTTTCATATAAACTCACCCCTTTCCCGCCTCTAACGGGAAGTGAAAGGGCAAGTGGCTAATTTGCATAAATCAGCTTGCGTGCCATCCTGTCTAACCTGAAGATTGAAGTACAAACTCTAATCCGCTCACGATTTCCGGTGTTATCATGACCAATTTACAATATCAACTCATTTAACAAGAACAAATTATTTTGACACTCCATTAAAATTATCAAGTAGGATTTCCATTTTTAACTGAAAAGAATAATTTGAAGCTTTTGTCTTGCTTTTTTCTTAAAGAACCCTAATGATTCGACAGTTGATCAAATTCTAGGATATTGAAAAGCATGCGTTAAAAAAACGATAAACAGATAAACAGTCTCATATCACAAACGGAAGAGGTCATGGCAGATTTCCGTTCTATTTTCTCGGAAATCTAAATATAGGCTTAAAAAGCAGCTTTCTAGTTTTTTCAAAAGAAAATAATTCATTTCCTGTTTACTGTATCTGAACGATTTTCTCAAAGACATTACCGCCTTATCTTCACATTTAAAGTTCTCTGCGAATGACTAGTCCATACAAGATAGACTCCATATAAGATAGAAGGGAAATAGAGTCGAATGTCTTTCCATGAAAAGCGAAAAACAAATTTTGGTCCCAGTTGATGAAGACGTTGTGAGACAAATTCCCTTTCTTGCTTTCATGAACGAGAGAGGGTTGCCACTGACGAAGGAAGGAGGGGAGGGGTGGGGAGAGAAGGAACACATTTCTAAAATGAGCTGTTTATACGCGTTTTGCGGTTTTCAGACCTTTCTCGTTCCTCATCTAAATATTTTCCTCCCATAACGCTTCAAGGCTTTCCCTCCAGCTACAATTCATGAATTCTTTCGTTACAACGAAGTCAACTCAGTCAAGGAACGTGACTGGCCAGAAATAGATCCAAATAAATGAAAAATTTCTTTTTTTCTAGGAATCTGAAGCAAAGGCGAAGTGTTTAAATTGTTTGTAAGGAT